AGAAAAAAGTTGGATATAAAACGTAGCAGATGTGTTTTTCTGTTCTGGTGAAAAGAAAAACACCTACTTATTGGAATGAACAGGAGACTCAGGAGTGGATCTGATGGATACAATGTTTTCTCTCTTTTGGGAAAGATGAGGTGGGGAAGAAGTTATTAAATGTTTACTTATGCATTTATAAGTTTGAAAGCATTCCTTTGTTGGCTGCTTATAAATGTGATGAGTGGAATCTCTGCAAAGGGCAGTTTGTGAGGCTGATGAGGGTGGGGAGCTGCCTCAGTAAATAGTGCCTTTATGGTGCCACGGGGAAGGGGAGAGAAAGAGGCAGAGCCCAGGTAGGGCTCACGGTTTCCCAGCTATAAACCCGTGTTTGTGCTTATTTACTGATGGCTGTGGGGGGCTGTGCTCAGGATCCATTGTTTTACACTCGGGGGTTCAACTTTTTCCAGCATCAGATGGAGAGTTCTCTTCTGAGAAATGTGTTGATGGTACAAAAGCAGGTTTATAATAAATAGAACAGAAAGCACTGCAGCATTTCAGACCCTGTCTTGCAGTTTTCACAGTTAAGAACTCAAGTTGCTTTCAGGATTTAGTTGCACCCACCTGAGCTGCTTTACACCTCCCCTGTTAAAAACGTGTTAAGAAGCTTTTTTTCCTTACACATGTTTTTATTTTAGTTAAATCGAGAGTCTTGTAAATCCGGAGTAGCCTCGCAGCAGTTGGAGCAGTTTTCTAGTCCTGTTCTGTGCACTGTGCTCTGAGTGCCCTCCTCACACTCCTCATTCCACAGCTCGGGACTCAGCCTGCCCCTGGCTTTTGTAGCCACATTTCTATCGCAATTTACCCCGTGCAAGCGAATACTTTGTTTATGCTGATGTTCAGCTCTTGAAAGTTATTTTCGGGGACTTCTTTGTTTGTTGAATATCGTTACTATATTGCCAAAAGTGCGATCGATGTGTGCTTGAACGCATGACCCAGAAGTTGAAGCTGTTACCAGCTTAAGGAAACGTTTCCAAAAGGCACATTTCTTTTTCTGGTACAGGTGTACTGAAAAAAATGAACCTTCCAGTGAGATTAGTGGATAAAGAGGGAAATATATGAGTTGTCCTTCTCCATTCTGACACTGGTAATTTTAACCTACAATTCGTTCCCTTGAGGCGCCTGAAGGTTGGTGAATTCTCACAAATGAATAGGAACAAGAATTAAATGTTTCCTTGAAAGTGTCATCTTTAGGCTTAGTTTAACTTTTTTTTTTTTTTTTCCTGACATTCTCCCCTTAAACGTGAGAGGAAACAATAGTAATTTAAGGTTATGCTTTTGAATGCGTTAAATATTATCTTCCATCCATCTTTCTCCCTGCTGGGAGTTGCTGAGATGTGCCGAGGAGTGAAAGTTGACTCCGGTGTATGAAACCACGCTGTTAAAAACCTGCTAACAAAGACGAGCATCTCTCTTTACCACGTCAAATCTGCCTCACCTGTCATTTTGACCCCGGCGTGTGCAAACGAGTGCGGCAGTCTGGAGGGGAATAACTCTTCCTGCAGAAGGAAATGATCAGCACTCACCGAACCAGTTGCTTCCCCCCCACCCACCCACCCACCAACCACGCTTTCTCTTTCAGTGCGAGGAACAAAATCGCTCGAAGCGATTCTCAGGATGAAACCCGCGGGGTGGAAGGAAAGCTGGGGGGGATTCGGGAGGGATCCGGGGGACGCGGGGAGTGCCCGGCCCGAAGCCTTTCCCCTCCCTCCGCCTGCAGAACCGCGGAGCCGGAGCCGCTCCCGGCTCCTCTCGGCTCCGGAGCCCCTTCCCAAACCTTCGGCTCCCGTTTGTGCCCGTTCTTGTATTTACGGCACGGCGGACGCGCTGCTGCAGCTCCCCTCGCTTTGCCGGGCTCTGGAAGGTTGTTTTGGGTTGTTTTGGTTTTTTTTTTCTCTCCCGGAGTTCCTCGGTGCCGTTTACCTGCCGGTGGATTCGAGTCCCCGAGCCGAACTGCGGGAAGCTCTAAAGTGCAAATCCAGATTTACCGGCGGTCGCGCTGGTATAAACGCTGCTTTTTTTTTTCTGAGTGAATTTACATCAGGAGAGTCAGAGCGATGTGCTTTTCGCTTGGCTTAAATACAGTTTGGGCTTGAAATGGGGCATCTAGACGGGAGTCTATAATTTCAGAAGTATTCAAGCGCTCGTGTGCTTTCGCAGCGTTATCTTTAAAGGCGAGAAACTTGGTTGGGGGAGCAAATTCTGCCCCCGAAAGCAGAATTCCCCTCCCCTGCCTGGGGCAGAGCAGCTCCCCCGCCTTTCCCCGAGCCCCCCGCGATCGTGGGGAGGGGGCACCCCACGGCCACAGCCCCCTCGGGGCCAGGAGGGGACGATGCTCCCGCATCTGCGCCTCGAGTGCCAAATTCTGGTGGCAGCTGTTTGGGGCGAAGGGAGCGCATCTCCCCTGACCTGCGGCGCTGCCCTCTGACCCACCACGAATCCCTAAAAGCGGGGCTCCCCCGGGGCCACGGCACACGAGTCCCCTTTGTTCGGGCGCTGGGGCTGAGACAGAGCCTGCATTGGACCCGACCTTGCGGGGACAGGCTCGGCTTTATCTGCAGGGGAGATGGGCTCGGGTTGTTGGGTTATTCTCTCGGGTTATTCTCTCCTTGTAACCGGCCAAGGTTACAGCGAGAGGGAATTCCGCCCCCTCCCCTTCCGCCCCTGCCCCGGGTTTAGGAACAAACGTAGGAACGGTCGGAGTGGCAATGCCAGAAATTTTCTTAGTACAAAGAGGGGGCTTTTATTCGAGGAAATGTACCCACGCCTATTGAGAAATGGTAAAAAAAAAAAAAAAAAAAAACCACTATAATACGCCTTACTATCCCCTGTATATTTATCTTATATGTTCTGGTTTCTAACTTTTTTTTTTTTTTTTAAGTACTATTTTAAAAAAATCTTGTCCTGTTCGGGCTTTTTAATACAGAGAAATTACACCTCAGAGATGCTAAGATCATATTTTGAAAGATTGGCCTCCACTCTATAGCTCCATCAAACTGCTGTTGCTTTTCTCTAACGTTAAAATAACGCCAGCCTCGCCTTTTGCTAACCTGGCAAAATCACTTCCTGCATATTTATCAATTTGGGGAGGTGGGTTAGCATGGCAAATTTCCTTGAACAAAGATTGGGTGAGATGTATTAGTTCATCCAATACCATGTCTGTCACTTATGTAGACAGAATAAATCTGAGTCCCGGCTTTGCCCTCAATCGTGTCTGAATTAAGGATACATTTTTATGAAAGTTTTATGGGAAGATTTTAATTTGAGATTCTTTTTGGAGCGAACTGTATGAAACTCTTTGAAAATAATCTTGTATTTAATAGGTGGCTTTTTGAATCGCGGCTGGACGTGGATGGAAGGAGTTCGGATTTATTCTGAAACGGAAATTATAGTTCTATCCCTAAAAAAAAAAAAAATAAAAATCAAGCAGGTTAAAGAGAGGAGCTGCACATAATGAGTCAAGGAAATCCTTGAATCCTTGCGCTGTGCCTTTAACTACCGAACATCTGATTCCCTCATCTGGCAGATGGTCTCTGAGCACAGATTTGCATTCATTGTCTTGAAATCTGTTTTCGCGTTGGTGTTATATAGATTTCAGAGGCAGATCTATACACGGAGCAGAATACAAAAGGGCCGGGAGGAAAATATCGCCAAGGCAGAGCAGTTTAAAAAAAATAAACGAAAATAAATGCAGACGTAGGTACGGTCCCGGGTCACGGCGGGCCGGGCTGCGAAGAGCTCCGGTTTCCTTTAATGGGAAATGTTGCCTACATGGGATGTTATAAAAAGTTTTAAGGTGAGACCTGACAGCTCTCGGGGCGTAACTTTGGGGTCTGCTGGGTGCCCGGCAGTCTCGGGCTGGCTCCTGCCCTGCAGGCAGCCTCTGTCCTCCCCCAGACCCATTTCTGTCCCTCTGAGCAATTTTTCATTTTAAATCTCGCGCCTGAGAGCGAAGCGGCCGCTTTGGCAGAGCCGTGCGGGGGCTTTGGCAGCGCGGCGGGGTCAGAGGGACAGAGATCGCTGCTTTTACCCACTTTGGGCGTTCTGGGGCGCGACAGGTCGGGGTGAGGCTGCGGAACATCGCCATCAGCCCGCGGGTCCCGGGCTCCGCCTGTCCCGGGACGGGCCCGCTCCGGCCCCGCGGTTCCAGCGCACCGTGTGCGGTCTGCGCCAGCACCGCTCGGTGTGAGGCTGCCGGGCCCTGGCCATAACCCATCGCGATAAACCATCACCATAAACCCGCTCTTCTCCTGCCCGGGTTCCGGCTGCCGCGAGGCGGGCGGCGGGAGCGCTCCAGTCCCGCGGCTTTAGCGCAGTTTGTGCGTTCTGGGACAGCAGCTCTCGGTGCGGAGCTGCCGGGCTGTGACCATAAACCCATCGCGATAAACTGCCGCTACCCCTGCCCGTGCTCCAGCTGTGCCGGGGTGGGCGGCGGGCGCGCTGTTTCCAGCCCGGCCGCGCTGCTTTAGCAGAGTTTGTGCGGTCTGGGACAGCACCGCTCGGTGCGGGGGCTGAAGGGCTATGACCATAACACCCCTATCGCGACATCCCCATCGCGACATCCCCAGCGCTTCCCCTGCCCGGGCGCGCTCCTTCCATCCCGGAGCCCCGCGCGCGCGCGGAGGGAGGGGAAGGGATGGGGGGGCGGAGCGCGGCCGCGCGTCTTCGCCAATGGCGCGGAGAGATGCAAATGAGATGCCCTTATATGGCGCGGGGCCCCGCCCCCCGCGCGCCGCCCGCTCCCACGCTGTAACCCATTCATGCCGCCGCGCGGGAAGGGCCGGCGCTGCCCGCGCGGGTGGGACCGGCCGCTCCTCCGCTCCTTCCCTGCCTTTTCTTCCGCGATTTACCCCGACACCCGTGCGGGGCTTTTATTCCCTTCCCCCCCTTCCTTCCTTCTTCCTGGATTAGGCAGCGATCAATCGTTGTCCCCGTTGTCTGCCTGAGGAACAGGTGATCCTCGTTAGCGGCGGTCGGGATTTTTGGATGCGGCTCCCTCGCCGGCGTGTGAAGGATGGTGATACCAGGCAAGACTGAATCGGCGTAACTTTTACTTGGCAAGAGGAAAAACTTTCTTCCCCGTCTGAAGGCGTTAAAAACACGGACCGTTAAAAGGCAGAAGAAGTTGGTTTTAAAGCTGAACTTTACTTTCCTGGGATTTGTGTGTCAGATTCAAAGGCTGCGTCGTTTTGTTTTTCTTTTCTTTTTTTTTTTTCTCCCTTATCTCCCAAAAGGAAACTGTTGCTAGTTGGAATAGACTTCTTAAATGTTTGGAATTCAAGATACTTTAGGAAGAGGACCAATTCTGAAAGATAAATCCCTAGGTTCTGAGATGGATTCCGTCAGGTCCTGGGTCAGAAACGTTGGGGTTGTGGATGCAAACGTAGCAGCACAAAGGTAACCGCGACTATTTCTCTCCCCCTACTTTTTTTTTTTTTTTTTTTTTTTTTTTAAAGCAAACCTTTTCTTTATGCCCTGTTTTTTGCATTTGATATTAGATTTTTTTTTTTTAATTTCCCCTCTGTCCCCCTCCTGGTCTCCTCCAGTCAGTTAAAAGTGAAGATCGGAGCTAGAGCCAGGCAGCAGCTCTCCAAAACCGGAGAACATCAGGAGTCCTAAAACCCAGTGCGGGGCTCGGGTGACAGAGAGATGGGATCCCCCTTTTATTTTCTGTCCCAGGAAGATGTGTGGGGCCCTGCATTGATTGTTCCCAGCCATCCAGGGTACTCCTCCCTGCTTGCTGGGCCAGACAGCCGAACAGAAGGGGACCAAGTTAGAATTAAATTCACTTAAATGCAAATGTGACACCCCAGCTTCCCCGGCCCGTCTTGTTTTGTTTAATTCACGGTGGGCATTGCCGAAATCTTCACCCGTGGTTTCAGAGCGGGCTCGGGGAGGGCACAGGATCCCTGCGGGTATCCCGCATCCTGGGGGGCATCCCGTGCCTGCCCACCTGGAGCACCTGCCCGAGCGTCCGAGAGGTCTCTGCTGAGCCGAAACACCTCTGAGCACCCCGAAATTGGGGCTTGGCTGTTTGTTTTTTACTTATCCGGGCGGGTCATCTCCCTTTATACCCCCCTTTTATTTTCTCTTGCCAGCCAAGTCGGCACAGGACAGTTATCCCAGTCTCTTCCCGTTAGGGGTAAGGCGATGAAAACTCTTTTAGGTACTTTTTTTTTCTTAGTCACCCAGAGAACAAGGGGAAAAAAGTTTAAAAAAAGGTGATAGCGTCGGGGAAGGCTAAATTGGTAAGCCCGGGAGTAAGGCGGATTTTATTTAGTATTAGAGACAAGGTGAAAGGCGTGAAACAGCAGAGGGGACTTCAGATGAAACAGGGACATTTTAGAAACAGCACATCCAGGCTCCCACCCACGGCCTGATCTGGCAGCAAGGTTTTCCAAGCGCCATGGGAGGAGTTATCAGAGTTTTATGAATGTCGATAGAGCGTTTAATAAATACGGTTGAGGGGGAAGAGGTTTATCCTCGAGGAAAGCGAAAGTAAAAGGCAGCGGCTCCTGACAAGACTCCGATTCACGGCAGCGGTGGAGGTGCAGCCGCCTTGTGCTGCCCGCTGGCATCGCCAGGTTTTGCTCCCAGATATTCCTAAGAAAGCAATAAATCCCAATTTTTACACGCAGAAACGAGAGGAAGCCCCAAGCTAGGTGCAGTTGCGGCGGATGTGGTGAGTTCACACTGTACCTCATTGGCAAGGAAAACACGGGGAAACATCTGCAGTTCTCCGAAAGAGTCAAATACTTCTGCCAGTGCTGCGGAATTATTTTGGGCACTAAAACCCAAAGCTGTCCGACTCCTAACTAGTCAGGCACCTAGACTTAATCTATTAAGTAATTTGAAGGTGCTCATGTGCACCTATTTTCCTCGCAGTAAGTAGAAATTTCCCTTAGCGAGAGGGAGCTACAACTAATTTCACAAAGAAATAAAACTGCAGGGATCTTGTGGGTAAACAGAAGCATTTGAATCTTTCCAAGCCGGGAAATGCGTGGGAAACATCACAAGGTTTTCTGCAGTCAGGGACAAGATTTTCGCAAGGGCTGATTAACCCGAGACTAAATTCTTTCCGTTTAAATCAGAGATTCAATTCGCAGGAATCGGTTCAAGTCAGTGAGTGACTAAAGTCAAACTTGGCTGCCGAGGGAAGTGGCTGCTCTGCTCCCAAGTCGCTGTCTCTGCCCAGCACGGAGCAGCTCCCGAGGTGACAGCCTGCCCATGGGAAAGGTTTTTAGGGTCGCTTGTTTTCTTCTGCAGGAAAAGGGACGGGGATGTGCAAAGGGCGATTGCAGAGCTTCTGACACGTTACAGCCACTTCCCACCCCGCCGCATTCCAGCGAGGAGCGGTGACAGGCAGGGAAATAAGCGGGGAAAGGAAAGGGAAGGGAAGGAGGAAAACACAACCTGCCTTTAGCACCAAGCCCTCTCTGTAAATGAGCCTCGTCCTGGGGCTGTGAAGGGAGCGGGGCCACGCCGAAATTGGGGTTCCAGGGAGCATCGCCCCGTCCCGCCCGGCGGTGACAAGGGACAGTCCGAGCGTGCTCTGCCTTGTCTGTCGTTGTTTTGCCTTGACTGCTGCACAACCCAGTAATGTCTTTGTCTCTCCCCCTCACCCCATCCCGTGTGTTTCCTCCACAGCGGAGTAGCTTTGTCCAGAGCCCACTTTGAAAAGCAGCCACCCTCCAACTTGAGGAAATCCAATTTCTTTCACTTTGTTCTGGCTCTCTACGACAGACAGGGGCAGCCGGTGGAAATAGAGAGGACAGCTTTTGTGGACTTTGTAGAAAATGATAAAGTAAGGCTCTTTACTCTTCCTCTTTCTCTTTTCCTCTCCAATTTTGACCTTCTCCCCCCGCTGAGCTGCTAACTTCTGTTACCTGTTGTCCCTAATAAAATGCACGATGGTTTGCTCGGGGTTCAGGTGATGTGGTAGAGCTGTAGCTCTGTGTGTGCTGCTGTAGTCAAAAAGGGTTGGAAGCCTCTGTTCTGTATCAGGAATTTCATTCACACACAAAAAGTAAATAAAATTCATGGGGGATAAATGCACTTACTTTGTTTTACCTACTACATCTGCCAGGTTTTATTAGTACCCAAACAGAAGTGGAATTTGACCTGTAATATGTCAGATTATCGTGGTTAAATGCATTTCCTAAGGCTCCAAAGTCAATGGCAGGACTTGAAAAGCATTTGCTTTTGGATTTTAAATCCATGTCTTGACCACTTCGCATTTTTCCAATTATTTTCTTAACCATGAACAAGATTTTTTGAACTGTGAATCATAAATAATTTTCTTACAGGAAATTAAAAAATGTGTAAGAAACATCCCTGTAACACAGCCTTCAGGAAATAAATATCAATTTTGACTCAAAGTAACATTATTGCAAAGTAATGATCACAGTAGAATCAAAAAACATTGTGTTTTCCCTCTGTCAATCTGCTTTATATTAATTGATTTGAAATGCACAAATTCTTCTCTATGTATTGCCTTGAAATAGTTGAGAGCATAATGGCAAATAAGGGAGGGAAAGAAGTTCTTGAACTCCTACAGGAAAAGATGTCAGCAGTATTTTGTAGTTTGTCCTGGGTCACTCGGAAGGTTAATACATCCCAATCAGTGGATTCACCTCTTAGAATTTTAATGAACTTTGTTGTCACTTCCATCATAATTATCAGCTCTTGCATTTTAAATGTGCCAAGTGTAAGTTCTGGAAGGATTTTTTTTTTTCCCCCCTTTTTTTTTTTTTTCGAATTGCCTTTCAGGAGCAAGGCAACGAGAAGACGAACAACGGCACTCACTACAAACTCCAGCTCCTCTACAGCAACGGTGAGTGCCCTTCCCTGGCCCTCCTGGGGCTGCTGGGATTCCCAAAATAAACCAAAATTCCCTTGCATGAGTCGCCTTCAGTGCAGGGATGAGCCCTGGAGTTCACACGGGCTGGGGGAGCAGAATGCCCCGGGGTGTTTCATGTGGCACTGAACGGGTTTGGGGTGCTGCTCCTAGGGCAGGATGCCCGTGGAATGTTATTTATGTGTAATTTATGTGGTTTTTAGATGTCATTTATCGCTGTTGTCCCTCTCTCCAGGTGTCAGGACAGAACAGGATCTCTATGTGAGGCTCATTGATTCTGTCACCAAGCAGGTGAGCAGGGCTGCTGTCCTGTCCCACTCCATCCTTCCTGTCTGCTCAACATTTCCCTGCCTGTTTTTCCTTCTCTGGTTCACTTTGGCCTCTTGCTCAGCTCTATTGCAGACCTATTTTGGAGGGTAATTGAAAATTGTGCTCTTAAATCTCTTTTTTTTCCCCTCTGTGGACTGTAGGATTTTATCCATTTTGTAGCAATATTTATGTAAAGCCGTTTTCCCTGCACGTAAAGGGGAAGGTGTTTATTTGCAGGTGATGGTGAGCAGCGCCAAAATCCCTTAAAGTTGCAGAATTTAATATTCAAAACCAACAGAACAGACGATTTAGTGATATAGGCATCACACAGTCACCCCCAGACACCCTCCCATCTGAATATTCTAAGGAATAAATATCCCCTGATGCTCCTGGCTTAACCCTTCTCTTCATTTTTGTAGCCCATAACTTACGAAGGGCAGAACAAGAACCCCGAGATGTGCAGAGTGCTGCTCACCCACGAAGTCATGTGCAGGTGAGATGAATTTATTCACACATGCTTTGTGAGCTTTGCTTCCCCCAGTGCTGGCAGAGCCTCTCCAGGGCAATTTGAGGCAGGGAGAGTTTGATTTTTTTGTTGTTTGTTTGTTTTGTTGTTGACTCAGGGAGGGTCTTGGGTTCAAAGCAGATATTTTGGGAGCAGTTTTCTTTTTTTTATTATTAATTTTTCCTGCAGGAGATTCAACAACCACAGCTGCACTATTTTTGTTTAAACTAGGCCTTTGCATGTGTTGTTTAAATCAAGACTTTTATATCCTTACTGCTCATAAAATTTCTGCTCACCTTAGGAGAATGAGCAGTTTAACTTCTATATTTTTACCTGGAAACTGCAAGATGTTCTTCATGAAATTTCTTTTTGGTGAAATATTTTAATTTTCTTAATTAAAAGTGGCATCACTAATGTTCTTTAATTTTGGGCAGTTCTACCCTGAAACCCTTCCTCTCTGTACATGTGAACATTATTTAGGGGCCTTCTACTTTATAATTAAAACAAACAAACAAAAAGGGACACTATTTTTTGGATTTAAATTTATAAATTAGAGGATGAAATGACTTGAGGATGTTTTTAATAACTTTTTTATAAGTCTGAACTTAGATGTACCTTATGTATGTATGTCGTGCTTCCATGGTAACTTATTACTTTCCCTGTTCTCGGGTAATTACTTTTTTTTTTTCAATACATATAATAATGCAAACAGTCAATGTTCTTATATTAAAATGTGCTAAAATGTGCATAGAACGTTCATAAAACAAGAGGCAAAACCCATTGGTGACCTTTATTAAACAGAGTTTGTGATTTATTGTATCAGTGGGAGAGGGTTAAGCTGTTGGACTCAATGTTGCTTCTTTTAATGGTGCAGCTTGTTACTTGATTGGTTTTTTAATTTTTTTTTAATTGAAGTAGCCTTTTAAGTTAATGCAGCAGTGAGAGAAGCTTATTTGGACAGAATTTTTATCGAGGAGAAGTCTTACTTTCAATACTTAATTATGTCAACAATTCCATTACTTTTTAATATAATATGAACCAGGTATTGAGTATGAAACAAATGCTTTGTTTCTGTGCTGTGTGTCGCTCTCATGAATGAAGTAGATGAGCTTCTGACCAGGATTTCCATATTCCTGCCCAAACACAATGTGTATCACACAGGAGGGAAGCACTGGGTGGGCTTGACAAGGACCTGGTGATGTAGTGGCAAAGATCAAAGGTGTTTAAGTGACTTTCTGGCACGTCTAGAACTCGTGTATATAATTATATATATATATATTTGTATATGTGCATCCATGCTGTTGAAGGGTTTCACTATAACCAGGTGAAAATAAGAGAAGAAAAATCAGATTTATTGTTCAATTGGGTTGTGGTTTGTGATGACACAAGAGCAGTGAGCCCATTTCTTGTCTCCCCTCTCCCTGCACAGAGCTCAGCTCTGCTTTGGAAGTTCAACTCTTTCAGCACCTTCCCATCCAAATGGACTGGTCTGATTTAAAATTAATTTGGGCTTTTCCCCCCCTTCCTCTCCCTGCCTTTATGGTATCAAATGCTCTGCTCAGCTTTGGTATTTCAGAGCTCCAGTGATGCCTGCAAAGCTCCTCCGTGCTTGATTTAAGGTAGCGTTGCACAAATCTAAGCCATTATTCTGATTATTCTCAGCTCTGCTGCTTGATAGATTAACCAAGGAAGAATTACAACTCGGGGACATCCTTCCCATGTAAAACACAGATTAGTGAAGGGAATCAAAAGCTCTCTGTAACCTAATGAAGACATTTGATTTAAAATGTCGTGTTTTGCTGAGGTATCTCTGAGCAGGATGCTGTGTGTTCTGAAGAGGCATTACACACATCACGTTGAATAATGCCAGGGGAATGGCTCCAACTCTAGTTAAACTTGACATTTTATTTTATTTCTTTTAAGTACAATAATCAAATCTTCCTCATTGTGTGCTGCTTAAGTGGCAGCATCAATTTTTAAAGCCCCTAGTTTAGTTTGCATTAGGAACAGTATATAAAATTTTAATGCACTGTACCCACTCTGCTGTCGAAATTGATGCCTACTGCTTTTGAAAAGGAAAACAAGAAGGGTCTGTCTGTCTTTCTGCTCCTCTTCCCATCCTCCCTAGTTGAAGGTGGGGGTTTATTTTGGGGGGGATTTTTCTCTACATAACCACACACGGAGATTTTTTTTTTTTTTTTTTGCTGTGTGGAGACGAGCACCTCCAAAAGTGCCCAGACAGTGACAGATGCCTGCTTAGCAGGAAAGTTGTCTAAATATTGATACGGCTGCACCAATCTGTCACAGCCATTGAAAGTTCAGCTCTCAATAATTAGTGCTCTCAGCGCGAGGCTCGATTTATTCATTTCCGATCCGAATTTTTTTTTTTTTTTATTTTTTATTTTAAATTTTCAATCCATTTGGCTTCTTAGTGACTAATAGGACCAGCTCCTATTTAGGTGGGTTTGTGTGGAAGAACACAATCCTGAGGGCTGCAAATCAAGGTAAAACACCCTCCTCTCCTGCCATAACTCCTCCTCCCCATTTCCACCCCCCACCCCATCTTCTCCCTTTTCTTCCAATTATCCACTAAGAGGAAACTCGTTGTTATGCTGCTGCCAGCAGCCCCCTACGCCCTCAATGCTCAGAGGGTTAAAAGGTATTATAATTCGAACAGAAGTAGTCTCAGGGTCTACAGCTGGCTAATAACAGAGTTGTATTGAGCCGAGCGAGCCCCACAGCTGTGACTTTCGCCACAAGGCTCAGACGAGACTGAGCTCTAATCAGCTGGACCAGGCGGCCACTGGGGCCCGTGTCTTTATCGGCCAGATGGTGTGAATTTAGACACTTTTGTTATGCAATTGCAGGGAGGAGTTGGGCAGAAGAAAACAAAACAAAGGCCACCATGCTGCGAGCTTATTTGAGTTTGAAATTAGAGACAGATTTTTTTTTTTTTTAAAGTATTTTTTCTTTAATTTTTTTTTTTTATTTTGTTGTTGGGGGTGATGGGAGGGAAGTTGAGGGATGAATTTTAAAAGCGTTTTAGTCAAGTTGGTGGAGGGGAAAGGGTGGGAGTTTGAGGCTTCTGGAGTGCTGGGGTTGTCTCTGGGAGATTTCTGGGTTTGGTTTTAGTTTTTTCTGGACCATTCTTATCATAAATCATAATTCTCCCCAAGGAGATCTAATTAGAAGGGAAAGTATAACAACAAAAGATGTAGAAAGTCATCTTAAGCCTTGATATTCTTGTTTTAAGCAAGATCTTTTTTGATGTTTCTGAGCATCTCTAAAGGTGTGTTCCCAGCCCAATGCTGTAACAGAAATGTAAATATTGCTGAAGTCGTGGCAATAATCTGATTGAAGAGAATATTGAAGATTCATCCTGGACCTGAAACTCCATCCTGGAATTTGGGGGTTTTGGCTTGGGCTGAAACTGGGACCAGTCAATTCTCTCACTTGTGAAACTGAGCAAGTGGAAATGTTACTGGTTGGGAATGGGGATTTAAAGATTTAAGAGGTATTTTTGCTAAAATGTTGGGGTGAAACATCCTCAGTCCCACTCTGATCTGGGTGCAAACAAGTCCTTCACTGGAAGTGGCTCTTCTCCCTCATCAAATTTTTTTTTTTTTTCATATATTTGGCCTCAGAAAGTTCCGTGGTCAAAGGGGATAAAGTCCATCACTTCCAAAGATCTTCCCCCAGCTGTGATAGGAATGTAGGGATCAGTAAAATATGTGGAGAACTTTAGCTGCAAGCCACAGTTTTAGAGGGAAAATATTGGAATATTACAAATATGAAGTTGAGAACTGCAATAATTGTGGGAATAGAAATAAAACAAGATGCACTTGTTCCTGAACCCAGACGTGTTGTGCTCAACCTCACAGAATTCACCCCAAAACTCTGCCAAGAAGTGCCACCATTTGAAAAACTGGGTTCCTTTTTTTGCTTTATTATAATGGCCTGTAAAGCAGCAAAGATTTTTATTCCAAATGTTATTTTCCACGTGTTGCTATATTGGACACATCAAAGTACATCCCAAATTTATATTCCTTTAAGAGGATTTTCTGGGGTTTTTTTTGGGGAGGGGTTTATTATAATTTTCTCCTTTAGAAAACATCTCCCATCTTAACTCCTGATATAAAACCCTTCAATTCTTCCTAAACACTGATTAAGCAGCGAAATCCAGAAAAGATGCACTTTAAAATAAAGTTGGGAGCAGGAGGGAGGGAAATGTTCTGTGCTGGTGTGAATTACCAGAGCTGCACTGAAGTCGATGGAGCCATGACAATTTACAGCAGCTACAGGGGCTGCCCCGGGGATTTTTAAATATTTAGTGTATCCTTTTATTTTAAAAGGAGCAGCATGGATGAATAAGTGCAGGTTTGAGGCAAGGGGGATGTTGGAATGTTGGAACAGTTAGAGCTGCTCTTCAAACAGATCTGCTCCTTCCAGCTCACCTGGCTGGGCAATTCCAGCCCCAGAGATGGAATTTGCAGGAAATGTGGGGATTTTTCATAGCTGAAAGAGGTTTGTTTTTTTTTTTTGGTCTAAATGCTCATTTTAGGAGTTTGTAATTGAATATTAGAATATGAATTTGAATATGAATATTCTTGACAATCAAGGAAAAAAATCCTCACTTTAGTATTTTACTCTGCCTTCAATGAGTTCAAGTATTTTATTTATTTCTTCTTTTAATATTTATTTATTTACTTTCCACTTTTATTTCTTTATTTATTTTTGTACTTTGTTTTTCTTATTCTGCTCGGAATTGCTCCCCAGTTGGAAAACTCTGATATTCAGAACGCTTGAGAATTTTGTAAATGTATTCAAGCACCTCTGTACAAAAACCCAGCAAAATTTCCACATTTGATCAACAACCTCTGCAGAATGTGGAAAACTTCTTCTGGAAAAGTCTGATCTGGTGAATTTTGAGGGATGTGGGAATTCTGGTAGAGACTTTTTAAACTTTTGGTGCCTCCATCCTTTGCAACAAAAAACTCGAGTGTGAAAACAACTTCAATCTTCTCTGCTGCTTGAGATTATTAAAAGTGAGGATTTCAGAGAAAGTTTTTAAAGTCTATTAAACTCCTGCATCACCCGTGTCAGTGATTATATCAATGGAAATAAAATAATGAACTCTCGTTTTTTACATTTTTATTCTTCTTTATTATAATTAATGTTATCATGGAATGTGTATAAATTAATACTTGATACGTACTCTTAATACTTAATGAATTAATAGTTTATCTTAATATTTAATCTTAATTCTTTATCACTGAAACAATTGCAAAGGGATTGCAAAAGCCAACCTGAAAATCATCTCTGCAGATCCTTTGTAGGATATGAAAATGTTCATTTTCTGCCTTTTCTTAGAGTGCTGAACTTTTCAGTCCCCATATAAAACTTAGATATTTAATAATAAAAAATACAGTAATATAAAAAAAAATCATAATATTGGAATATACCAAACCATCAGGTTGCTCATAGTCAGTTCTAACACCTTTGGGTGGATTTTAACCCCACAAAACCCATTTGGTGCTGCCTGTAATGACATTATGGCATCTGTTAATCACTTATTAGACCTTTATAAACATCACCTCAGTCTCAAGTGTGGCTGCTCATTTTTGGCTGGCTAATTCAGGGTGGATTACAGGGAGCCAAGAGTCAAATTCCAGCTGGAAGCAGCCACGACTTAGGCACCCAATTCCTTTAATTTCCCCTTCTGGAAAGCAGAATTTTTACATTTATTGAGTGCTGAAGGTTTTCTGACACACTTGGAGCCTCTTCTTTGCTCTCAGCTGTCCCAGTGGTTCTTTAATTTTAATTTTAATTTCAATTTTCTCTCCCTCTCCAGTCGGTGCTGTGAGAAGAAAAGTTGTGGCAACAGAAACGAGACTCCATCTGACCCTGTGATCATTGACAGGTAGGAGAAGAATCTTCATTTTCTTCCAAAAACATCCCAGAATTGTTATTTTTTGAATTTGAATCATCTGAGGTTGTTTCTTGCTGGTTATCTGTCGATATCTGCCATTTGGGGACTCGGACAAAAATGATGTTTATTTTTTAAATGGAGTTTTGAAATGAAGTTTTTAAAGGAAGTTTTTTTGTTTTTATTGCGACCATATATCCCATGTGTGCACCTGGAACATTCTCTCCTCACCAGGGGTGGGATCCAGCTGGGTTACTGAGACAGATGAAGCTTTGAGCAGCTTCAGTAATGTTCTTTAACAAAAAAAAACCCAATATTTTTGTACAAATGTGGGGAGAAAGGGATGGGTAAAAAGGTAAAAATGCACCATTAAATCTGACAGGTTGGGGACTGTCAGTAATTTTATGTAGAGCTTTGTGTATTACTCAGTTGCAGCTCCAGGTTTAAGTTCTTTTGCTGGTTTTTAGGTCAATAACAAAACAGAGGGAGAAGAGTTGGTTAAACCATGGAATGACTCTGTAAAAATCGTGTGCATTTGGGGGAGCTCAGAAAACTTCCTTGTGGAATTCACTGACATGCAAGGGTTTGAAATGTGGAGCTGAGCAAGACTCAGACAGAGAAAATAAAACCAGGCAGAGCTGCTTCAGAAAGGAGCACACATGGAAGGGCTGCAGAAAGGGACCAGGAAATCAGGAAAAGCCAGGAAGAAAATGTTTTTTCCCCAGATTATTCAGTAGTAGTTGTTAAAGGGCTCCTTTTCCCTGGAGCTGATGCTGGACTGGATTGATTAAATTTAGAGTCAGTTTTTATTCCTATCCGTGTCTGGCCTGTTCTATCTCCTTTTAATAAGCTTTATTTGTCATAATATTTCTCATGGACTTGTTTTGGCACTCAGAGCAGTAAAGCTGGTTTGAATAAAGATCTGCAATAATTTCCTTCTTTTTTTTTTTTAATTTTTTTTTTTTTTCCATCCCAGAGTTTAATCTAAATAATTTTGGAACTCTGATGAGGGAGGTGATGTGTTCTCCCTTTACCCCATGGTTTTCCCTTTTAATTCTGCACTCACAGAGCTGGAGGCTGCAGGGAATTGGGCATTTTTGGGGAACACAGGTCTTGGATCTGCCATCTTGACCTTTTCCTATGAAATTTGGAGCTTATTTTTGGCTGTGTCGATGCTTGGTATGAAATGTGCATTTGGGAACTTTCCAGCCTGAAGTCTGGATTTTCTGGGAAGCAGCTCAGGGTGGATTGAAACCTTGACAGGGGCAGTTCCTACCCTGGCTGGATTTGTAATCCTGAGCCTGTCCTTATGCACAGTGAAGATTCTGAGCTTCCTGGGGAGCTTTGGCACCTGCTGATATAAAATGCAATTAAATAATGAGGAAAACCAGGGTTTTCCTTTCTAACAACTGTGTAAAACGTGCATCACAAGTCCCCCGTTGTGCTCAGTGAGTCCCAACCTTTTCAGTTTTGCTCTAAGACCTCTCCTAACTTTGTCTAGACCTCTCCTAATTTGTTCTGAGCCCAGAACTTTCTTCCTGCCTGTGGAAGCATCCTCCAGGCTCAGTGGGGCAGTTCCTTTTTGCGTGCTGGTTTTTCCCTTTCTGTGTGTTTGTCTCCATTCCAGGTGAGCTCTGGAGCTCGGTGAGGGTAAATGAGGGAAATAAAAATGGATGCAGCCTGACAAAGCTGCTCCATTGGGTGTTAAAGGCAGTCACTAAATCAGATTTAGGCCCCAGAGAGAAGAATTTATCCCAGCTCTGCCCTGCAGTCTGGAGGAGGCTTGGCTTGGTGAAAAAAAGCAAAACTCAAAGCTAAATATTTTTCTTTTTCCTGCCACTAACCGGTGGTGCAGCATCCAGAGAGTGACTCCTCCTTCTGGCATTTATTTCTGCACAGTTATTTCTGCTCCACCTCTTCACCCAGGGAAACTGAGGAGTGAGGGATCATCCTGTGTGCTGCATCTCCACCAGCACAAATAATTCAAATAAAGGCAAGGAGCTGTGCTGGGTCTGTGCACAGAGAAATCCTTGGGTTGTCTCATCCTCACTCCTGCACAGCACCAAAATACAGCAGCTCAGGGCTTTAACTGCACACTCCCCTTGTAAGGGTTTTTTTTTTAGGCTTTTGCACCACTAATTAATGGTTTGGTTTAGTTTTGTTTGTTTTTGTTCGGATCTAGGATTATTAGAAAGGCAATCGAGCTGGATTTTCGTGTTTGGACTTGGTTGTTTATTATATCTTATTAAAATTTATAGAAAGCACAGCAGCACCTCCTGCTCATTGCTAGAAGTAGGAAAAGTGGCTCCAAGCTGAGCCTGTTTTAAAGTTAAACACACTAATAGATGTTTTCCACCTATATTATTTATACTTTTAGCTCAATAATGGATTCCCATGTCCTTTAGAGTGACTTTTAACTGATGAATCTAAAGGTAACAACCTAAGTTTTGTGAAGAATCAGGAAGAGAAGATGAACAAGAAGAAAAAACACCACCCCAAATTCTCGATCTTGTCCCCTAACTACCACTATACAGAAAAACTTGAAATTTAAACCCCATCCCCCAGTGCAAACACACACACCTGACCCACTGCACATTGGGGATTTCTAACTCATTATTCAGATTTAAAAGTCTTCTCCAAGGTTCCAGCTCCAGAGCAGTGTTTGCCAGGGGCTCTGTGCCTGGAAGCACAGAAAGCTCCAAAACTCCAGATTTTTTGGGATCCAACACCCCTCTCCTAAAATACACCCCATGGGGTCATTTTTTTATTATTTTTCCAACAAGGAGAGTCCCGTGTGCTCTGGCTGGGCAGCAGAGATTGGATTTATTCAGGGGGGTCTTTCTGTGGCTCCTTTGAAGGAAAACACCTCTGCTCAGGGGCTTGGAGCAGGTGGAATTTCATTTCTGAAGCCACCTTGCAAGCACGTGGGTCGATAAATTTGGTGATGTTTGCAGCTCAGTGATGCCTTCGTGGTGGGTTGCTGTTAATTTCAAATGAACTTCAGGTTTTCTTTAAATGGTGATTGAAATACAGGTGTTTTTTCCCTGGTGTGAAATGATAGGTAAATGTAAAAATCTGCCAGGTACCAACCCAGCTGTAACACAGTCTCGTGTCCCTGGAGAAGGGGAAAAAAGGAAAATGGAGAGAGAAGAACTGCAAAAACACTTTTGTGTTATGCAGAGCTGTGTGGGCAAAGTGAAACACCATTTCCATGGAATAAAATTCCAGAATCTTTGAGATTGGAAAGGACCCCAAGGTCTTTGAGTTCAACCCTAAGTCCATCATCAATGTGCTGATTTCACCTTTATTTACTTCTCTCCCCACTTTTTTAGCTGCTGTGTGCTCGAGGAAGGCAAAATTCACTGGTGTTCACCAAATCCTGGGGACTTTATCCCTGTTTAAAAAGGAAGAAATAGTTCAGTGGGAAAAAAAATATCAGCCCTGTTGTTGTTGGGCTTCTTCTTCTCCTTGAAAGAATTCCAAAAGTTCTGATGCTGAATAAAACATTTCTGCAGTGACCTTTGCTCTGGGGACTGGATTTAGATCCGAAGGCCCTTGCAGTTATTTTTCCACTCCCTCTTGGAAATGAGAACGTTTCCATATGAAAGGGAACTTCACCCCTGAAATGGAGTGTGTGCCCTCTCCTGCTGGCAGAGATCTGCAGGATCCACTGGAATATTTGGGTTCCTGTGATGTTCTGAGCCAGAATCTCAGTGTAACTCAGAATTTCATTTCAGAGTGATTTAACAGGGGTGGCACAGCTCAGATCCTGCAGTGCTGCTCTTACAGGTGCCCAAAATGGGGAATTCCACTGGAGCACGGGGCTGGAAGGACCTGGGGTTGCATTTTGAACTCCAAGGTTTTGGACAACACGAGCCAGGGTCAGTTCTCAAAATGTCCCAGCAAGTTTTAATTTTGTGTGCACAACCAGAATTAGAGCTGAACTGCTTCTGGTGCATTCCTGTGGTGGATCCCAGCTCTGGTGGATTTATTCTGGATTTCTATTTGCCTTTTGAAGTTGATATCTGTGGAATTGGTTGGTTTAAGAGACATCGAAAATGTAAATATTATCTTTCCCCCCCCCCTCATGGCTGAAGTGATGGCTCTTGATGTTCCTGGTAGTTCCTTGAAATTGGAGAGTGAATTTTGTGTTTCTTTTATGGAAATCACAGCCAGGGGTATGAGGTGCAGGACCTGGGGGCTTTGGGATGGAAGCTCATTCCTTTCAAAGTGGCACTTCCAACTGAAAACTGTTTTGTTACACTTGTGTTACAATTACTCAGTTTGTTGCCTTTCCTACCCTGCTAATGCAAATAAAAAGGAACTTGGTGTTAGGATTAAGAGGTCATGAAAGATGCAAATTCATTTAATTAATCACTTCACTGCAGATTTTCTCTCTCATTGTAGGTGAGTTGTGTAGTTTTGGATATAAATTCATCAAGTGGAAATGATTTTTTTTTTTTTTTTAATTTTCTTTGTGTTCCTTGAAGATTCAAGCTCTTTAGAGAAGGTTATTTTGTGTATTTATTACTCTTAATGCTTTACTGAGTTTACTGAAGCTGTGGTTTAGTTGAAGCCTCTGTGGTAGAGGGGAGAATTGATGTGACTTTTTTAGCTGAAAAATTTACTTTTCTGGTTTCTTACCTTTCCCTCCCCTTTTCTAAGAGAAACAGTCACAAGAAATTTACATGTAATTCAAACGAAACCTCTTAAACAGTGAAAGGAAACGTCTCTGTCATTCAAACAAAACCTCTTAATTCAATTCAAAATGCAGTGTCACTAGGGTGGGACAGAATTTTTTTCTTCCTACAAGGGAAACTCCTGGGAACAGCACAAAAACCTGGGAGCACAAACCCTGTGGTATTTTAGCTGCTGCCTCCATGGGGTCATGGAATGAAAAATTTTAGCTCAGGTTCTTCCAGAATCCAAGACCTTGGGTCCAATTCCTTCTGCTTTTAACTAAACTGCTTCTCCTAAACTCTTCCCACTTGTCC